CTTACCGATACAAAACGTGAAGTCTGGCTCAAGGACCTCGCGAACCCTGCAACATCGCTTCGCCGCCTCAGCCGCACGATCCCCCATGGCGTCCGAGGGCGAGTCTTGCTCGACCAATGCCTGAACAAAAGAGTTCCTACGGAACGAGCGGTTTGGCTAGCCAAATGCGTCGGAGCGAATGAGATAAGAGCTTTCAAGAGAAAAGGCGTCAATGGCGCAGTTGTAATGGGGGGTGAAGCCAAATGGAGTAGGGATTGGACAGGATTTGTTGAGCAGTTTATCGACTCTGTCACTTCGGCCGTCCACGATGCTGACTGGAAGTCAAAGGTCACGTACGCGTACGTATCAATCTTGCCCAATGTCTGACTCTGCTGAGCATCACCACTAACTGATCGATTTAGAATTCGACTTGCATCAAATCTCTATTGGGAGCAGCTATTAGATCGCGAACATTATTTAGAATGGATGACAGCAGGATTGGAGAGTAGTACGACAGGAAGACTCCCAATGTGGATCCTCATCGTGCGCATATACTGGTCAGACTTGCTTCGATCACGCAAGCATGGCAAGCGACTTGTTTATGGTTTTCTTCTTCATTTGAAATCAGTAAGTTCTCTCCATAGTCCTGGATTATACATTCCTTCTCCTGACACATTGCCCAGCTTTATGAGGATCCGGACCGCGATGTTTTCACCCAGCTTTCAAATCAATTATCTTCAATTCTGCGAACACTCATTCAAAGCCACCCTGAAAGTTTTGTCTGCCCTCTGGATTGGTCAAAGTACCGAGAAACACTCAAATCTGTCTTGCCGGTAGAAGATCAGGGTGCCCAGAGGGCGTATTCGGGAATTAATGCTAGAAACGCCTTTCTTGCCATCACGGGGTCTGCGTATACTCCCGCAGGGAAACAGCAATTGGTGCGACTTCTCGACTCAACCTTTCGAAGATTTGTTGAACCGGATTTGGCCACTAAATGTTGGGAAATGAGTGACGATAAGTCTATCATCACGAGGACCCTGGTTGAATGGGCGACCTCGGCCTATCGTCCCGGTCTATCGAAAATCTATGTTGCGGCTAGCCTGCTACGATCTTGGGCTTCCATGGCTCGATTCGAGGCAACTCCATCTGTGCTTGAAGTGATAGATGGTGTTGATGCTCATGATGCGGACAGAAAGAATCAATTTTATCTGCTTGTATCAGAGCTCGTCCGAAATGGGAGTTTTTCCATTCCCTACTATCTTCAATGGTTGATTGCCAGAGGAGGCTTTCATGGTGCTTCTGATGTCGATCCTGATGACGGGCCATGCGCGACAAGGCTGCTCATTGAAATGCCAATACACTGTTTTCCGAAGAAATGGAGGAACGAGAGGAGTAACCTTCTTCGTCGAGCCGGAGGATACTCAACAGAAAGCGAGGAGATCGACCTCTCTAATGCGATTAAATGTGTGGACCATACATTGGGACTCCCGCTCCCACCTGATGATCCATTGTTTCTGCGAAAACCGCTTCCCCTTCGAAAGCTATTGGTCAGAATCAGAAAGAGCAGCCGTGCATGCAAGGCATCTATTGGGTGCCACCTACGCGATGTTGTGGCTCGACAGGTTTCTGCTGATGGAAGCCCACCTACAATGTTAGCGCTATTTATGTCTGCTCGGGCTATCCTCGAGACAGCTGAGGATTTTGCGATGCTCTCAGACACCATTCGAGCATGTTCGAAGGCCTCAGAACCCAGCATACTCGCTGCGTGTGCTGACACTGTGAACGCTCACTTGCCAACATTTCTCGGTATGGGGTCTGCAGTTGAAGTATTCCAGCAACTGTGTGAGCGATTGAGGATCATTGTTCAGCAAGGGGTGCTTGCTCGGCCACTCCTTGCCTCCATCTCATATCTCGCCAATAGATTGCCCGATCAGGATGAATTAGCTGGCCAACTTGGCCAACAACTCCTTCAGTGCGATCGAAGTAGCGCTATCGACGCCTGTTCTCCGGTTTCCGACAATATGATAACGCAGTCTCAAGGGGCTGAAGGTGAAATATCCGACGAAATCGATAAACTTCTCGCCAACGGCAACAGTATTGACCACCCAACAATGAACAGGCTGTTTCGGACGCTTGTACCGAGGCTAGAGGTTGGATGGGCTAAACTTGACGAGAGTCGCAGAGTCTTCGCCTCCTTGTTGACCAAGATGCGAGTTTTTGACCCTCTGCATTTCGATAAACTCATGACGGATTGGGTCAGCCATGTTAGCTCGATGGACTCGCGGCCTAAGCTTTCAGACCTTTACCCCCTTCTTCTAACTGCTGGCTGTTTGAGCATCACCGTCTTACTTCATGCCTCCAACATATCACCAGCTATGGTGTCACAGGGCGTGAAAGGTGCTGGTCGGGTACCTCAACCATATTTTCAAGAACTCCTCGACTTACTGCTAGCAAAGATGCCAAATTCCAACACTTTGACAGCGGAGGAAGAGTACCAATTTACTGTCCACCAGCAGTCTGCCCAACATGATGATCCAGCACTGTTCTTGTCTTTAGTCCGAAGCGCGATTGTTGAGTATATCAGCATGCGAGACGTTTCGGACAAAGGTCCCCTGCCCTTGGAAGATCCTAAACTCCGCTGGATGCTTACTGAAGGCCTCAGATACCTGGTCACGGTGGATTCGGCCGCTGTGAGCGAGTCTTTAAGCATCAACAACCTGCCAGATGGGTGCGGCGAGTTCCTGTCGTCTCTCTCGACCCGACTACTCTTGCCTGATAACGGCGAGGAAGTTCAAACGACTTTTGACCAAATACTTGGTCTAGCCAACGAGTTGACTCTGCCTTTCTGCCAATTGAAGCTGAACCTGGATCTTTCCATGAATCAAGGCAACCCAACAGAGACCGACGAATCGGTCGACACCGTCGAGGCACCGACATCTCGATTTGAGCTCTTCGCCACGGCCATGGATCGCGCGATCGAGGCCAACAATATTATTTGGACAAGTATGCTCCCATGTCTTAGTACAGATATAGCCCATCACTTGCGGAGTCTCGCCTACTCAAGATTTTTGGGCTTGGTCCCATCTCTTAAGTCGGTATCTTCTATCGAAGGAACCTCAGAATATCGAATCCATATGGCCGAAAATCTTATCGGCGTTATCGAAGCTATCAGTGCTGGGCAGCCCTCATCGAAGCCGTCCCAACTAAGTATGCTTGCGGTTGAGAAACTGATCGACCTAGGAGAGATCATTGCAAGCCGAGAGCACAAGGAATTGCTAATGGCTGTGCTGAACCATTGGCTTCCCGCTCTGCTAAGGCTGATTATCCTTCAAGGTCTTGCACGTGACAATGCCACCCTTGGGGCTCCTTCAAGTGCAGGACCTGGCAGCAAGCTCTCGCTTGTCACGGTGAATTGTGAGGCCCGGGCTCGTGCATTTCTTGCACTTTGCAACTTGCTTCTCATCCTTCAGTGTCTGCCGCCTGAGGTTTCTGGTGTACTGAGCCAACAAGTATTCGACGTTGCCGTTGTCCTTGTCGATGCTTTCCCTGACGATCTTCGCCAACAATGTGCCAGGAATGTTCTTCTACTCCCCGGTATGATGACCGGCTTGAATGTTTCATCAGACCCACGTTTGTATTATTTACTGAGCACGCCTCAGCCGGCAATGGCCGACAATCTTGTGCTTGCACACAAAGATAAGCCGGGTACGCTCCACGGAAGTGGAGGACGGGGGATGGGTGCCATGTACGGCATCGGACCCTCTACATCACATAAGCTCTCCCCATTCCTGATGAGGCGATGGGAGATGCTTAATGAGTCCACCCCCAATGTGGGTGAAAATGACACCAGCCTAAGCCTCGGGCTTTTTGAAGCCATTAAGATCCAATAACAACAAACACGATTGTTACTGATCTTGGCGACCTTCTATTAATCACATCCGCTTCGACAATATTTTCCTTGTTTTCGCTTTTGATTTTGGTTTTTCATTTGTCTACATTGAACGACGATCGTCTACATGGTGTATGAGACACGTTCTACTACGGTTCCGGTTCGCGCCAAGTGATTTCTTCCTTGTTTTGGGGTAAGGCGGCACAGCATTGAGGTGGTTTAACGGAGCCTGGGAAGACTGAATTTATCTCTTTTTTATACACATATTGGGATTGACAGCATTGGCATGCATGTATCTTTTCAGTTTAGCTGTTTCATCTTTGAGCTGCATTGGGAGCGAGCGTGGTGCAGGGAAAGCTGACTGGTGACGACAGTCGGGGTTTTGGGGATGTCAAGACGTAGGATAAGGTTTTTTTATTATCACGGAGAGAGCCTGGGAATATCTCTAGTTCTTGTGCGCATGCAATTCGCGGTTATGGATACATGGGCCGTGGATGTCCGAATAAGCATCGTCTTGAAATATACAACTTCATTATGACTTGTGTTACATAGTTATTCATATATGCTTATCAAGCTGCGAGAAGTCTACTGCGTTTGCCTTCTCGATGTGACGAGTCTAAAATGAAAAAAACCCTCCTCCATCGCCCCCTTTCTAACCACCCTTGACTCCGTCCCCGATACTCATGGTTTCCATTCTTCAAATCATTTCCACCCGCCATGTGGCCATTCCCTCGCCCGGTCTTAGACGACGTTGTACCTGGACCTGGAAGGTCCGGTTGCTCAAACAGTAAAATCATCTTGTTGAATAAAAAGGGGAAAGACCAGGTGAACCAACGGAGCTATTCCTACAGTTGACAGTGGTTCCGCGAAAACGATGACGAGGCAAGCTAGCCAAATAAACACAACGAAGAGAGTGAAAAAAGAAGCGACTATGCCATGTTTTGAGCTACGGGACAACGGAACAGCGAGATGAAGGGACGATGAGTCTATCGCTTTGGCAGAACAACGGGATGTGTTGAGATGAGGCAAGGTGAGAAAAGCAAAAAGATGGGAAAATGCCGAGATTCATCACATCGTTCAGCAAACTTGTAGCCCCGCCAATAAGTCAGAGGAAGACAAGAATAGAATAAGATTAATCTTCATCAAAGATGTCATATGTGTTCTGGAGGATGGTGTCGACGACCTTGATCTGCCAGCCGGCGTCGGCGATGGCATTGCTGGGGTCAGTACCCATTATGGTGGGACCGAAGATGACGGCGAGGTTGTGTGAGTTCATCCGGTTGACGTGCGCATTGTCCATGACGCGGTACAGGTGCAGGGAGAGAGCGCGCAGTGTGGCGTAGTTGGGGTCGGGGAGGCTATTGATAATGGCGTGCATAGAGTCGCGGCGAGCAACATCGTCATCATGTTCTGTGATTAGATAGGTCAGTTAACCACCCCTTTTTCTGAAGAGGCTGATCAATAGTGACTTACTAGCAGCTGCAACGAAGCTATCGTGATGTTCCGAGGTCAAAAGAGGATCGGGAAGGTCACGCAGGAACATCTTCAACAGTCCAGTGACACTGTTGACGTCATGATAGAAGTTTTCGGGATTTCTGAAATCAAGAGCCGGGTTTTGAGAGTCTATCCAACCATGATTAGTTCCCATCGTGATATTTATGCCGATGCTTCTTGAGAGTTATAGTGACATACCTGTATCAAACATGTGCTTCAGCTTTTGAACGTGAACCAGGGAGCCAGACTGCCTGTAAATGCCTTCAACCCCGAGTCCGTACAAGTCAGCAGCCTGGATGCATTGGTGAACAACCAAAGGCACGGCCAAGCCGTCACGCTCATATAAACGGCTGAGATGCACACCAAAGACTGGCTTCGGGGGTGCAGATGTGGTTTGGATAGGGCCTGGAGACGCCGACTTCAAACCCGCTGATGTGTGGCTGCCCTGCCTCTCGTGTTGTGCGGTAGCGGCCTGACTGGACTGGAAAGGAAGAGCACCTAACTGGGGTGGCCCGACGGGACTACCAGGCGTATATGCTGGAGGGGGATGACCGCTTGAGGTCTGAACGCCGCTGTTGCTGCCATAGTCGGTTTGACTGAAAGTCCGGTTGTGAGAAGGAGGGAAAGAGGGCGGGTTCGGAGGTCCTGTTGGTGTGAAACTTGTCGGGTTCTTACCCAGCGAAGCTGGGTGACCCATTGGGGGGTTGATTGGGTTCAAGCCAGTGTTGGTTTTTGAAGGAGGCCCCGATGGTGGACCAGCAGAGGATTGGGGAGGATGGGATTGGAGCGGCGCTTTATTGATTGAACCCTGGTTAGACGGTTCTCTAGCATGCGAAGGCCCTGGGCCAAGGACCTAAATTGGAGTTAGCAAATCTCCACGTATTTCAAGTGATGCGGCTTATATATTTACGGGATTTCGCTCGTATTTCACATCGCCAGGGACGTAAGGAACCTTGCTCGATTGGGCAGAGATGTAGTCATTGAGATCCCTTTCATTGTCGATCGATAGCACAGCGTTTCGAAGACTGCGAACAGAACTGAGATCGGCTCCAGGTGCTGGGATTGGGCTCACGGTCAAACCATTACTCAAAAGTAGCTTTTCACTGAGGAGAGCTAGTTTTGAAAAAATTGAAGTCAGTGACAGATTCACATTGAATGCATAAGGGTGATTTACCGTATTGCTGAAGCTGCAACGACAAGCCAGCGTCAATGTCTTTGATGAGATCCTGAAGGGCCCTGACAGCTTCGGGGCGAGTAGAAGTTTCGAGGTGATGTTTCTCTGTCTGCAACGTCTGCACATGACTCTTGTAAGTCTGATCGGCATTCTGGACCTTCTTCAAAAGATCTTCCTCCTGCTGAGCGGCAGACTTGTTCTTGAAGGCGTTGAAGACCTTGCCGGTTTGCTTCTCTCCCGTCTTGATCTTGTCGTATTCATCCGAGAGAGAGTCGTACTTGGCCTTGCTCTTGCGCATGGTCTGCTCAAGCTCAGCAACCTTGTGCTCCGCACTGAGCCCAGTCGTCTTCCATGTCTTGCGACTCTGTTCGGAGCTGGTGACGAGCTCGACGAGCTCATCGTGCATCTTCAGCAAGGACGAAGCGAATTGGGAACCATTCTCGGACATGCGCTCGTGGATTTGGACTATGTCGTCGTATGCGGAAGAGAAGCTGCCTTGGCGATGATCTGGCTGGCGGAGGCTATGTTGAGTGGCCCGGCTCACTTTCTTCAGGCCCTGCGCATTGCTCTCCTCGAGAGATGCTCGCTTCTTGAGGAAGGAAGCGAATTCCTGTTGTCCCCGGGTTAGCTTGTGGTACCGGAATAGGCGATTGGGAAACGAAGCGGCTTGCCTTTGAGGTAGCTATGCTAGCTTTCAGGCGGTTGAGCAGGGTTGTAATGCCGATCTAGAGACAAGTTAGGAGCAGCTCTGACTAGACAGGAATGGGGTGGTATAGCTCGTGTTACCTCGGAGGAGAGAACGTCGTTGACTTGCTTCAGGACCTCTGGGCTGGGGCCTTGGGAGGGATTTGTCGCGACCTCGGGCGCAATGGCTGGGCTGTTGGTCGCTGCCCGGTCAAGAGGGAAACTGTTCTGATGGAGCCCATCTCGGTCATGTCCATCGACCGGCGAGGTGAGGACGTCGGCCATTTTGACGGGGTGGAAGCGCTGGGCAAGGGTGGTGGTGTGGTGCAGGTCGGACAGGGAATGGCTGTTATTTCCGATAGAGCTTTCAGTTGTCGTCGTCACACGGTCTCGGCATTCCTTGAAGGCGAGCAGGAGCGTCAATTGCACATGTGCGGTGGTCGAGAGGAGCTTGGCGGGTGCGTCGCTGTACTTGGGCCGCAAGGAATGGGCAGATGGAAAGTCAGGTAACCCCCCTTCGGAGATTGCGCTAGTGATTGATCTGCTCACGATCGTCGTCGAGGTGCGCAGAGGTGTTTGCCCGTGAGCCGCGGCAGCTTGCTGGACTCGGACGGCGTGGAATGCGTGTCTTTGCGACCAGGGAGCACAGCTGGAGAAACGAGCCGGCAGGCGTGATTGTTGTGGGAAGATGTTGGGTGTCTGCTTTGCAGCACCGTGGTGGAAGAAGTGCCAACCTCAAGCCACCGACCTCGTCATGCAGCAAGGATCAGGGTCTATTTGCGGAGCTGGAGCCATGGATGGATGAAGAGCTGGCGCGCACTGTGGCGACATGCCCAGTGGCTGTGCATTACGTAGCACCACCCAAGCGGGCTTTCGACGATGACAGACAGTATGCCAACCACCTCAACCTGGCGATAGTGTCTTTCATTGGAAGTAACCCTGATACGTTCACAGCATGGCTAGATATATGATTCCTGAATTTATTCTTTAGAGCATAGCTGCCTCTCAACTATGCTAAGTGGTGTTGCCTCCACGCCCAGTATAGTGAAACCGGCGTCTGTTCTTGTGTATCTGCTGAGTTCTCGCTAATTACCCTGACATTAAACATAAAACCAAGTAAAACCAAACCGCAAGTTCATCGATAAATCGCATCCGTTCTACCCAACATTCCCATCTTGATGTTGACCGGAAGTCCCCAGAAGAAACAGAAATATCAACGAGCCAGACTCAATTGCTTTCCAGCCCAGTATCATATCTAAAATGATGAATTCGTAGCCACTTCAAAGGGGATAATAATATATGCCACCTCTCCAGAACTCCGGAATGTGTCCCCTCAGGGTATCTCGAATTTGTACAAGCCCAAAGAAAATAGGAATAATAAGGGGCAATAGGAAAAAGTAAATTAGTATGATGTACATGCGCTGGACAAAAGGAAGACTTCTGTCATCTTTGAGGAGACTTGACAAGAAAGGGTATGAGATAAATGAGACTGGAATCTAAAAGAATCAGAGATAGGGGACTATATATTACTTAAATCCAAAGGTGATATCGATGCAAGAAATGGTAAGAATGAGCAAGGTAAAGATACGTCATCGAATTACCCAGTTATCATAATTTCGGATACTGAGCCAGGGGTATCGTGGTCGCAAATAGCTCGCTATGAAGCATTCTCGGAATCGACAGCCGTTTCGTCTTTAACTTCCTCCTCGGCATCGGGCCATGTTGGGACGGGAATCTGTGCGTATCTCAAACCGTCCGTCTTCTCGGTCTCTTTGCAGAGAACTTCCATCGAGAGCTCCCAGCGTTTTCGCAATCTCTCCTGCCGCAATTTGCATAGATTGTCGACTTCTTCCAGCTCCAGAGCGTGTTGAGAAATTAGGCTTTCTAGTTCCTCTTGTCGTTTCGCCGTGTGGGTTTCCAACTCCACCTCCTGCCTATCGAGCAACTCCTCCATCCGCTTTGCTTGGCGGTCTCTCATGACGTTGATCTTCGATTGATGCAAGCGTTCCATGTTATCTCGGAGATTGTATTGCTGACCCAGTTCTCTCAGATCGCGCTCTGTGACCGTTCTCTGTGGCATATCAGTGCTGGGGCTGCGCCCCAACCCTTCGCAGTAAGCTTCCATATGCTTTAGTCGAATCTTAACGCTCCGTTCACTTTGCTCTAGTGTATTTCGCAACTCCATCTCCGCTGCCACTTGTCGATCCTCCAAATGGCCGGCCGTTTTCGTGTGCCGCTCCTTCATCTTTTCCGCTAAGTCGTCATACTTCTCCTCCAACGCTTTTTTCTGTGAAGCCTGGCGCTCCTTCAAGGCAACCCTCCCCTTTGCAGCAAACTCCTGGAACCGCTGTATTTCATCCTCTTGAGATTTGATGAGTTGCTGGAATGCCTCATGGTTATTTGAACGCTCCTCCGCCTCCTTTTGCTTAACTGCCTCCTCGGCCGCAGCGGCAACTTGCGCAGCCTTCTCCACCTCAAGTTTGGCAAGGCGCTCCTGTTCCTCGATGCGCCGCCTCTCGAGTTCTTCCTCCCCATTGCAAACGTTCGGGCAGCCCACCGAGGGATTCCAGACGCCCCCACAGATGTAGCAGAACTGCGCCTTGCACCTGCAGGTCATATGCGTGCATCCCTGAGCCAGTTCGACAAGATTCCGGCACTTGTAACACCTCCGCCACCCCGACTTCTCACCCATTTTCAAAACCGCCTCCAGCTCCCAGTCCTCTGGGCAGTCCTTCCCGACCGGGTGGGCGTTGCGCTTGCAGGTTACACAAGCCCTCGTGTCACATTTCCGGCATGTGACATTGAATGGGTGTTTTGGATCGATCTTGTGTCTAGGTGGTATAAACTCACCGCAATCCGCGTTTGGACAGAATATCCTTGCCTCCCAAGGCGTGCTGAACTGAACGACAGCCTTCAAGAAGACCTGCTGAGTTTCCCGCGGCAAAACGGCCTTGACGATATTGGTAGGTATGGGCTGCGTGCAGCACCTTGGGGGCATCTTGGATTCCTCGGTAGTGGATTGGCTGATCATGACTCGGAGGCAGCTGGCGCAATACGTATGGCCGCACGGAAGACTATGCAAAGTATTTGACTTCTGGAAATCGTCCCGACAGCATACACAAGATCTGGAGATTAGGGGTATTAGTGACATGGCCATGAAAGTCGGCGCTTCATCAGATCAAGGCTACATACAGGTTAGGTGGGAAGGGCTGTATTGACTTTCTCCGCCATCGAATCTTGCTCTTGAGCCCCGATTTTACACTGAACAAACTCTTCCTGGTGCTCACACTGAAGAGGCTCTTGGCAGTGCTGTCGGTAGGCGACTCAACTTTGCAGAATTTGGGCTGGTCGAGGTTCTTGTCCACCTGCGTCAAGTACTTGTCATAGGGCTGGAAGCTAAGAGTCTTGGGCTGTCCCTTCTCCTTCCCGCCGAGCGAGGTCGACTCTGAACTAGGAGGCGCGAATATGGACGAGTAGATGGTGAGATCAGTGCTCGCAGAATCGCGAGAGCCCGTCGAGAAGGTCCGAGCGTGGTAAGTCGCGGCCGTGGAGGCAGACTGGGCGCTGATTGTATAGCGCTTGTCGTCGGCGTCGTCAATGGCCTGAGAAATCGAGATGCCAAGCTGCTGAGCCCGGGAGACCAGTTCGTCGTCGATGTGGACCTCGAGTTTTCCCAAGGGCAACCTCAAGACCTCATTAAAGTACGCGGCGTCGCTTAACCCGTCGATTAACGTCGGCTCGAGCTCCTCAGTCTGAAGCTTGGGCGGAGCGATGGACACCATGCTGGGCGCCGCAAGGGGTGGTCAGTCGGGAGGTTAAGAGTCCCAGGAACGAGAAGAATGCAGGGTATCGGGGATCAGGCCGGAAGCATGGTCAAGTTATTCCAAGAAGTCGGATTGTACAAAAACAGCTGGAAGGGCGCGAGACAGCAGGCGGGATCTGAGACACGAAATCCCAGTTGTCTACCGTCGGGAGAGGTGCAAATGCGCAACCGTCCTTATCCTCCCCCTCGCCGATCCCACCACTTCGCTCTTTCCCAGATCAGATGCTGTTCGCGACAAGGATTGTGGCCGAGTCCGGTCGAGTCAAAACAACAGGTACGTAGGTGATGAGGATTGCGGGAGCCGGGCCGGCAGCGGCTGGGTTAGTCAATATAAAGGACGGGAGCCGTTGTAAACGCCCTGGCTTGAGGAGAATCAAGCTCTAGCAGACGAGGGCGGGATGGCGTCTGGCTAAGATGGGCGGGCGATAGGAGGCTACTAGTACGCAGATCTAAATGGGCCGCTCCCCCTGCCTGGTGTCCGGTTGTGGGCAATGACAGCGTTTAGTAGTGCCCATGATCAAGTGGGTGAAACTGCCGGCTGGGAATCACGTAGTTCATACGTAGCAGGCCGTATTAGTATAACTTGCTGGCCCAAGAGCCCCAGCGGGATCCGCCACAGAAATTGTCGTGCTCCGTTTGTGAGCAGGGGGAATTTGGGTCAGAGATCAGGCGATGCGGTGGCACCCTGTCGAGAGCGGGCGCCTCCAATCATCAGGCGACTCGACGGGTGCCAGCTACGTAGTGGGTGTGCCCTCATTCCCCATCCCAGGCCAGATGGGAATCGGAAAAAGAAAGGAAAGGCGTCGGTCGGTCAGTGGCGGCTGAGGGGGCTGCCCGCCGGTTCCTCACCTTACCGTTTGGGCGGGCGAGCAGCTGCCCACCGCCAGACATATGCATGCACCGTCCCTTGATACTCTCTGCCCGTCTGCCAACTGCTGCATCGGTACATGCTCTGCACCTGCAGGCTCAGGGATCAGAGACAGGAACGCAGTTTTGAGCCAAGCTGCCGCTGGCAGATTGAGGTGCTAGCCTTAGGGGGCCTTTAGGGCCCTCTTTGGGGTGCCACATCGGCGCCAACCACTGATTAGGGGCTTGCTAAAATAACCTAAGAGCTCCGATCCATCCACATTCATCTGATCCCTTTGCCCTTCTAAGCGTTGACACATCTCCTTGTGCAACTGACAGGGCGCGCACGGTTATCGCACCTACATCATACTCTAGCGCCTTGCCATCTCACCGTGTTGTGTTGGCTCGTGTCGGCGGGCGAACTCCCGTGCCGCAAATCCCGACGGCGGCAGGAATCAAGATAGGATAGCCAGCTTCTGTCCCCCCATATGCAATAATAACCTTTGTTCCTATCGTTCCCAACTGCTCAACCAGTCGCAAAGCATGTCATCCTATAGCCTTGCCGGGGCGACCGGCAAACCATTTCTGCTCGTTCGTCACTTGAGTCAGTAATAACGAGCTGTTATATCTCCTATCCGGCGTTCCGATGCCGATCAGGGGCCGTGCGAGCTCCGTGAACCTGCTGGCCTCCATTCTTCACTCAGTAAGGGTCAGATGTAATAACAAACCATACCCCTCTCACTCCTTTCTTCAATTCCAAGGCAAGACAAACATCGCGGAGTCGAAGAACAGGGATGAGGGCGGTCTGGTGTGCTACCGTCTCCTGGCTGTCCAGCTGAACTATCAGCCTTCCTTTCCAAGCACAAGGTGAGAGTATTGCACCGCCCCTCCGTTCCCAGTTCGCAAGCAGCGTGGCCTATCCCTTTCCTTGTTGGTGGTGGCAAGGACAGCCATATTCCCAGTCCTAGTGTCCTGAAACTCGCATCGAATTACGCGTGCATGTTCCGTCTACATGTACTATGAGGCAAGCTGCACTGGAATTCTCCCTGTCGGCGGCCGCCTTTCTTTGCCCTTGGCAAGTCTTCGAGTCCCTCAATATCGGCATGCTTTCTTTTGCGACGTCGATCAGTGCTTTTCCATCTCGTCATCTTCCTTTCTTTTTCGTTCTTTCTTTCCTAGTTTTCAAATTTTTTGGGACCAATCGCTTCCCTTTCTTTTGCCCTGTTCCCTTCAAGACTGCGGATCTGGCTGATTTCGGGCTCCGACTCTGGAACATGCTCCACTCAGCCAAGAGCGATCATGCACGGCTCTGGAGACCTCTGAGACTTTCCCAATGTAAGTTTGATACAAACATGTAGCTTCAAGAACCAGATCCGGCCAGCATCTACAAACGGTGTGGCCCACAGCCGTTTTCATTGCAAGATCGGTAATACACAAGAGCATGAACTATCATTTTCCCAGCCAGCTGGTTCATTGGTGGTCTCAATCCTGCCTGTCTATATGTAGTACAATGAACCGCCAGGCAAACTATTTCAAGTTAACTGACGGGTACTCCGATAACACTTTTGTGAAACCCGCATTTGACATGGCTCGTTTGTTGGCCAGCAGCTCTGCACAATTTCGACAAAGAAACTTATTTCGCGAACAAAGGGATCGCCACGTCCCGCATTCATTCGGCGGCTGTAGGGCGGGAAGAGGCGAAAGGCTCTTCCCACCAACAAAGTTCATCATAGAACTATAACTTATTTAAGGTTGATTTGATGTGCCAAGGACAATGTAGTATCATCATGTGTTCTGCAATATGCTTCTTTGTCTCCTCGTCCTTCCTCGCCAGCAATCACGATCCATCTGTACCTCGTATGATAGGACATTGAATGCGTGCACACCCTGCTTCTCAATCACTGACTGTTATCATTCTCCATCATCCTCGAATAATCACCGAGATTATTATCCGAGGCGCCCTCTGCTTGGCCTGCCTGAGCCTAGCCTGGAGGTTAGATCTCCACAGCCAATCGATTAGCCTTTTGTGGCCTCCACTACAGCCTCCAGTCCACTTATCACTCGTGCCGCCTCCACCAAGCGACTTGCATTCAACGACATCTGCGTCGTGCAACCCAGCCTTGTAGCACCGACTGGTCCACCTCATTCTTGGTTACAGACTTGGCCTCGGAGAATGTTTGGATCTGGGCCGTTCTTGGGTCAACTTCGCTTTTAGAAGACGTATCCTCCTGACCAGCATCTACTCTGTCTCAACAGGGCAGTGCTTCCCTCTCTTCCTCCGGGTGGCTTACCGTGGCGCGTGCCTACGAGTAAGTCGACTTCGGGAGTCTTACTCCTCGAATCTAACGCAAACAACGGCAACTTCCTCTCGAGTGTTCCTGTCGATACCATTTGTTTCCGTCTCTCAACATGGCCGAGCTCGTTGACCCGACCCAGAAGGGTAATTATCCTGTTATCCTTGGGGATAGCCTCCTCGGCAAGAACTCCAACGAAATATTCACCGGTGTCAGATGTAAGACGCTCTCCAAAACATCCTCACTTGTGAGCTACCACGTGCTGACTCCCTGCCTTGCAAGATAACCATAAACCGCCCATTGCGACAGCCGAGAAGAACCCGGCCCGCCTAAAGCCCTCGATTTCCGGCGACAAGAGCTCCTACGATCTCAACTTCGTCGACAAGGTCGGCCATACCGAATACGCATATGCCGGCGCGCGAAACACCGACGATGGACAGTACGTCCTCTACTTCGACCCGGCGCGCGAAGCGTTCATTCTGGACCGCATCGACTCGACTCTCAACATGAACATCACCCGGACGCCGAACAACAGCGACCCCGCCAGTCTACGGCGGCAGTATCCCCAGCTAGACAGAGACGGCAAGACGGCCCAGTCCTCTGGCGCCTCCGAATCCAGCAAGCCGCAGCAGACCAAAGCACCCAAGGCCAAGAAGAAGGACCCGCCCGCTCGCAAGTCCGAGCCCAAGGCGAAACCAAAGGCGGCGCCGGCGCCGGCCCCCAAGCCAAAAAGCCAGGGGCTCGTCCTCCCCCAGGCCCAGCAAGCACCGCCCAAGCCCAAGCCGCGGTCGCGGACGCTCGAGGAGGAGGAGGAAGAGGACGACGATGACGACGACGGAGGCTTACTGGTCGAGTACCCCGGAGGCGAGCCCAAGTCTCAGAAGAGGGACTTCTCGCCCGCCTTCCCAGCCGTACGGCGGTTTGATGATTTCATGGACCAGCGGGAGTCAGAGGCCGACGATGCTGATGGGGAAAGTGAAGACGAGGGCGATGTGGACTTCAAGCTGCCGAGCCCGGTCAATCACCACCAGAACGCGTACGGGGCCCAAATGGAGGAGGAGGAAGAGTCGGAGCCAGAAATGGAGGAAGTGGAACCACAGGCGCCCGAGTACGAGCAGGATGACAACCTTGATATTGAAGATGACTTGGAGAAGGACCTGGAAATGGCCTTTGAAGAGGTCAATGTTGAGGATAAGGGTGAAGAGAGCGAGATCAGCGAGGAAGATTAAAAAGACACATGAGATCTGACATTTTGGAGCAAAGTACTTGAGAGAATTGGGTATTGTCCTTTCTGGGTTATATTTATTGGGAAAGCAGGTTTGAGCACGTTTATCTTTATCAAGGCGCCTCGGAGTTGCAGTTGCCTATCACTAGCAACTTGATATCATTCAAATACAATACGTCGAATTATATAGCGTCCCAGTTTCTCTCACTTACATCAGTTCCGCACCCTCGCCCTCATTGTCATACTTCCATTTCTCTCCTGGTAGCTTGTCGGTGATACCGGGGATCTCCTCGGCACAGTAAAAGTGCACATTCGACTCCGCCAGCAACGGCCCGTACTTGAGCAGGTCCTCCTTGTCGACTGTGCCGATGGCGAGAGCCAGGTAGTTGTCCCTCTCGGGGTGCCAGTACACCCAGCTGCCGCACTCGCTGCAGAAAGCCCGGGCGATCCCGGGCGTGGCGTAGTACTTCTTCAGCGTCTTTTGGGCCGTGAAGGTGATGTTCTCCGGCTCTATCATGCGGAGGTGGGCGATGACGGCCCCGGCGTTCTTGCGGCACTGCATACATTGGCATGTAGAGCACTGTTGTGTGTTTGAAAATTGGGTTCCCTCGTTAGCACTTTGCTCCAGACCCATTGTGAATGATTGACTGGGGAACCATACGCCCTTGGAGAAGTCAAAATCGGGTGCGAAGTTGACTTGGTACCGGATGCCCTCGCACAGGCAGCCGCCCTGGATTGTTTGCGGCGCTGTCTTTGTCGACGACATTGTGGCACAAGTAGTTCAAGCAGCGTTGCAATGTTGTGACAAAATATGGTCTTGTTTGAACGAGAGAGAAAAATTGAAGAAGCACATGAATGATGCTTTGAATGAGACTCTGGGGCTGTATAGATATGTCTTCCGAAGGAGGGGTCATGTCAACGACGCCTTTCCTGCGAACCTAGACCCCCAATAAGATCTACGCCTATGATTGTTCACTCCAAACAGTGATCGCCGCCAGTGAACTCGCCAAGGTCACTTCATTGTATATAGGTCCAAACCACGACTGCCATCATACATGCATCGGAAGAAGTTGCATCGTATGGCTCCTCAAGGCGGACAAGCCCCGCCCTCCACTTGTAATTACACTAAATGTGGTTGCTACTGTGGTATTAATATGTAGATTATACGGTGTTTTTCTCACGTTGCCGTCAAGATGTAATAGGCATTTCTATTTAGATTATCTCCCACCAAGCAATTCGGCCTACACTTTCCCCTGCGTTCCTCACAATGCAGAGAGCACCTTGGTTGCGATCCTCTCGCATATCTTCCAGGACCTTTGATACGGCGATGCCACCCACAGCTATTCCCCGACCTTCGCTCAACGAGAATGATCCACTTGTCACAAAACCAATCAAGTCTTGCGCATCTGGAACTAGTGGGTGGCCGTTGATATCTGCTACATTAGCCTTGGCAGATGGCCAAGGTATTGGGGGCGCAGTGAGCTCTTGGGCTAGTAGTCGCTGGCGGGTGTGGAGATCTGTCGATTTTGTTATTTTGGCAGATCCATTCTTACCAGGACGTGACCTGGCGGTATCTGCGGATTGTGGTATCAATCGCAGCCACTGATCTCGAAGGTCTGCAGGTAACGCAGAAGAAGAAGAAGAAGGAAGTGGTGATGGGTCGGTGGCTGGGACCTCGGCGTTGGGAGAAGGAGGGGTGAGTACAGGCTTTCGAGGAAGTCGGTAGATTCTTGCACAAGATCTAGCAACACCCCTTGTCAGAAAGGATAGCCGTACAGTCAAGACGCTACTCGCAGGGACTGGATCCAGTTGTTGAGATTTGACAAGTTTGGAGAACGTTGACTTGTCAATAGGGGTGAGCTCAGACAAAGGATTTGATTCTAATTCCCCTGTGGCTCTGACGGCATTTTCGACATCGATGTCCATAGCATCTGATGTTTCTGAGTCTGGATCTCCGAGACGTCGGCGCAAGCTAAAGAGGTATTCAAAATCGCAGGCCATGCCATTCCCAACTTCGCCCTTTCTCCCCGCACCAAGCTCTAGCGACTCCCACTCGGTTCTTTTACTCTTGGGTCGTTTCTCCCACGCTTTCTTTCTCAGCTGGCGCTGCTCTAGCTCCCATGTCACGCCAGCATTTGTGGTAAGAGAGTCGGAAGGGAAGAAAGGTAGTCCGCGCTCAAACGCAACTTGTTTAGCCTCGTTTAGACCAGCAAAACGAGGGTTCCCTCCAGAAGAGAGAGGGTAGTGAACCAGCGAGTACCAGAATGGTAGGATGCAACCCCAAGGTGCAAGAAGAGTCCAAGTGCCCTGGGCCTGCCTGCTTGGTCCTGAGCGACCAGAAATAAGCAGGATAGGAATCGAAGGGTCAGACTCCACAGGCTTTAGAACTACCCCAGGGGCAGTAGAACTTCTCCGTTTCTGGAGAAGCTTTTGCGGAGGTAAGCACGATGCTTTGTGCCGTTGATCTCGGTCAAAGATGTCATAGGGCTGGATATTATCCTCAGCAGGCCAGGCGGCGAGGAGCTCTAACATTTTCATCTCCACTTCCTCTCTATCTTCCTCGCTGCTTGGCGATTTCGCTTTCTTAGGAGGGTATCTCAGGCGGGGGTCCTGCACATTGAATCCCAAAATAGCTTGGGCTGGTAGAGATGCTGGGTTAGTCACGCCTTGCAATCCTTGAAAGAGTTCCGCATGTCTTATTTTCGGTTCTCCTCTTTTGTGTCTTGGGGTCAAGATAGACATAAGAGTTTCCGTCGAGGCAGGTCCAGTGATCTCAACACTGCCAATCTCGTATCGCAAATCGTGAACTGAAAGCTGAGGCGTTTCCATTTTGGCCAGGCGCAGCAGTTCCGTGAAGGTTTCCAAAAAGGCTGAAGGGTGTATTCTCAGAAGCAATTCTCTTTTATCCCCTTTCGACTCTTCTTCGGATATATGCGACTTTTCAGCAGGGTTCCAAATAACCGTTGCTGGACAGACGCATCGTCTGCCATTTTTCGTCTCCCTGCTTATCTGGCCAGACCATGACCGACTGCCCATCCTCCATTTCCGGTCTCTGTCACTCCAGCAGTTTTCATGGGACACTCCCAGCCGCTCCATTACTCTTTGAAGGCCCTTCGTGTTACCAGAAAGACTTATCGTGCTAATATATGACATATCCCAGAACACAGCCCCCCTGTCGCCCTGCATCCGATGTACAGGCCTGTAGATCTTTTCATTTGGTGTCAATGGCAGCGCGAATCGCCAAAGGGGATTCTTAGGCTCCGTCATCCTAGCACGCTTGGCGTGCCAGGCATGTGTAGGGAGCCACGTCTTATTCAATTGCCGTTTTCTGAATTTCGAAGATGGTTTCGGGGGATCATTGAGCAGGTTCGTTCGAAGCTTGGGTCTCCGCCGAGTTCCCTCAGCCTTATCCGCTCCTGTAGATGTCTCTCCAGAGTTGCTTGCCTGCTCCCTCGACTTTTTTCTTTTCTGCCTGGCAGCTAGGACGCCAAGCTTCTTCGCTGTTTCCGCTCGGAGGCGTGCTCTCGTCGTTCTCGGCGCTCTTCTGCGGGATTCGACTGTCGGGGTATTATCTTCAGCCATCTCTTTCATCGCCCTTGCCCTCAATCGCTTCGGGACACGCTTGGGGTTGTGGCTGGCGGTCCGACGCCGCAGGCCGCGAGGTAGCTTCTGAAACGCGCGACTGGTGCCAGTTGCCTTGGACATGGCCATGCTTTGCTCAAGCGCACGAATCTCAAATTCGTGGGCGGCCACGAAGGCCTGCAAATCAAGCTCGCCATCTTTCAACCCAGCTTCGGCTGGCTGTGCGGGAATGGACCGTGCGGCATGGCGCTCTTGACGCTTCTGCTGGAATCGGTCGCTGCGCGCGGAGAGTGCCTCGGAACCTGTTTTGCGTTTCTTGGGATCACGGGAAGAACCCGGGTTGCCATTCTGTGGAGCCATCAGGCTCACTTGAATGTTGGTCGCAAACCTGCTAATTGACGGCGTTGGTGACAGAACTCTCTGCACATCATCTGCGACTCGGTTGTTGATGGCCCAGCCATCAAGCATTATTTTGGTAATTCCACATTATCGATAAGCTTGCAGCCCAGCCCACTTACCGAATCAGTGGTACCACCTTCCATGCAGGTGAGTTGAGTTACCCTGAAGCATCAAGCATGTGCCAATTCGATGCAGATGAGAGCCTCATCTTGAATAATCATCGTGCTCATAGACGCTGGGGCTAATTATCAAATTCTCGGGTAGGTAACAAACCTGTGTTTTTTTTTTTTTCTCAGAAGAGACCGAGACCGAGACCGAGAAACGTTTGATCTAGTATTGCTGTCTGGCTGGGTTGGGCATGGCCACGGCTGCCGATCTCGATTGAGGAGACGGCAACGGCTTTCAGTAAACTCCCCGTCGATAGAGGCTAAGCCCCTCCTCGCTCACCAACAACGTTACATGCAATATTTGCATCATCGATCATCGATCATATCGATAAACGGGGCCTCACCTAAGAACGAGAGCTATTGGTCGGCAGCTAATCGCCTGGTCTCCCACACATCGGCTTTGCGCTGCCCGACTTCAGCCGCCTTATCCGGCAACGTGAAGTGGTGCCTCGATCCTGGATCCTGATTAGCCCTATTCAGCCATGGACTCTCTAAGTAAGTCTTTTGATGATTACCTGATGAGCCCTCTCTCTCTTGTCTTACTGCTGGCCTGTCTTCAAGGTTGCTGGCCGTCTTTCGTTTGTCTGGTTGATTTACAGCTTACGGCATGGCAACAACAACACCCCACCACCCTTTCGTGCATTTCGTGCCCTCCTCCCATCTCTCGAGAATCTGTTCCTAAATACTGGCTTTAATTACCTTCCATTCCGAAATTCCACCCCCCGTAATGTCCTCTTCTCTGGCTAACCTACGTGACCTGCGTTCAGTGGGAAAGGCTCGCAAGGTAATGAGCTCCTTTTCTCTTGGGTCCTTTCCTTTTTCTGCGTTCTCGAGAACGCAGTAGTGTCCTTAGACCGATGACTGATTCATTCATATAGCCCAAGTTTGAGCTACATCTAAAGGTATTGCCACATGCCAGCCTCTCCCAGAGCGATCAGCGTTGCTTATCCCCATTATGCAGATTTATGATCTGAACAATGTCCCCTTAGTATCGGGGAACTCGTATATAAAATGGCATCTCACACACTCCATCCACGCCGAGCACCGTGGTCGCACAGACAAGTGCCCCATAACGAATCACCGCGTGGACTATGCCCTCAGCAAGGTCGTGCCACACATCCGTATTTCCGTGGACAAAGCCAACACGCTCACGGAATGCCCTATTGAGTTTGAGGTTGTGCAGGAGTTCGCCATCACAGAAAAGATCACACTGGGAACAGTGAAGCTGAATCTTAGCGAATATGTCGAGGAGAGCGAGGTATTGGCCAAGGACTCCGTCACATCCCCCGGCAGAAGACGGGCGAGCAGCGTAGGTGTGAGCCCTGGCACTGTCCCTCCTGGTACCAAGGGTGTCAAGGGTGTTGAGAAGGACAAAGAGGTTCACGATGGTGTTATCCGCCGGTATCTGATGCAGGAGAGTAAGATCAACAGTACTCTCAAGATCGGCATCCTCATGGTCCAGGTGGACGGGGAGCGCGGTTTCCTTGCCCCTCCGTTGAAGAATGCCCCTGCTTTCGGAGGTATCGCTGGAATAGTAGCGGGCGAGCAGGTTGAAGATGATGCAAGCCGTAAGTAGACCATGGCTAACCTATCCATGAAACGGTGAACTCACAGTCCTCCCTAGCCATTCTTAGCATATCCAAGCCTAGAGATGCCACGGATCTTCATGATCTCTATCGTCGGACTCTTGCGGCATCCTGGCATCGTCTACCTTCAGAACTTGCTGCAGACGAGTGCATTGAGGATATCTTTTCTGGCGGAAACGGCTGGAAAACGAAGAATGATGGTGGTTCGACAAGCGACACAGAGGAGGATGAGTATGCAGGCGGGACTCTTCGGCCCGCCGATATCCGTCGATTGGATCAGTCGCATCTGCACCACCCTCGCGATGGAGGGCACATCCTCCACCGTCTGCATCGACGGACTCATAGCGGATCCAGTGACCAGAGCTCCAGCACTATAACAGGTCGCAACCCGCGCAGGCAGTTCCCCCTGGGCCGTGATGACGGGAGGGAAGTCGCTTTAGACCTGAGTCGCAGCGGGAGTTTAGCAAGCCTGGCTCCTACTCTGGATAGTGAACGAAGCCGCATAGAGATAACCAAACCCACGAGGGAGATTAGCGAGGATGAGGTGAGAGACGACATGATTGCCTGGAGACTTCCTGGAGGAGGCTTGGCATTTTAATTGGTCCGCTTGCGGTTCGCAAAAGGTAGGGAATGATCTGGGTATATTTAATGTTGAGATGATGGAGCCAAATACCACATTGATAGAATATCTTCCTTTGGTCGATCATCTATGTCCGCTTTTGTGAAACGCAAGCACTCACCCAATCATTCGAGATCAGCATCATGCACATAAAGTCCGAGATCCGTCATGTAACAAGAGACAAAACACATATATATCACGTCGGCTCTTGAAATCCCGAACCAACCGCGCAACCAAAATGGCCTGTTGCTCTATCTCTAAAACAAAGAAACCCTTCTATCCCATCAACGGCCCGCTTCGGTAAACCCAAAAAAAGCAGCCCGTCTGCCTTCTTCCCCCCCATTTTAGATACTTGATACTTTTTTTTTCTTCTCGTTTTAAAATACGTTAGGATCTAGCTTCATCGACATCTAAGGGGCTTTCAGGTTTCCCCTGACGCCACCTTTGCCGCCGACTTCCCGTGCGGTAACAATGACGCTCAGGTCAGCTGCAACATTAATGGTGACCTCGACCTTGCTCCCTGCCTTGACGCCCCTGATGGCGGCCTCGGCGAGGGCGCTGCCAATCTTCCAGATCTTCTCCCGAGTCTCTTCCTCCTCTTCATCGGAGTCAAAATCGGAGTCGTCTTCGTCCTCCTCCTTCTCCTCCTTCTCCTTGGGTTCGGGCTTGGTGACCTTGATGTGAGTACCACCCTCGACAACCTTGATCAGAACATCGCCACCCTCCTTAGGGGCGGGGATGTGCACTGTGCGGCGAGCGGGGACAGCGGTCTCAGCAGCCATGACAGGCGTGAAAGCCTCACCGTCAGGGCCGACGGTCGTGACACCAATGGCGTTGGAGATGTGCTTGACAGTGGTAACGGCGGGGTGAGTGGACTGCTCAATGTCCTCGGCCTCGTACTCCTGGATCAGAGAGGCCTGCAGAGCGGCACCACGAGCCTGGAGCTCGGAGGGGTTGATAGCAACGGTGCTGGTGGCGGGGGCCAGGATGTCCGTGGTCTCGGGGAAGATGCCGCGGAAGTTGTTGGCGATGCGGGGGGTGTGGGAAGTACCACCACACATGATAACCTCATCGACGTCGAGAACGTCAAGGCCGGCCTTCTTAACAACGCCCTCGACGAGGCGGTTGAAACCCTCAAAGACCTTGCGGCCAACCATTTCGTATCGTATCCTGTTGATGGTGACGGAGAAGTCGTATCCGTCTGCCAAGCTCTCCACGCTGAACTGCGCATTAGTTCCCAGGCTCAGGGCCTTCTTGGTAGCCTCGGACTCGGCACGGAGCTTGGCCAGACTCCTGGGGTTGGAGCGAGGGTCAGTCTCGTGCTTCTTGATGAACTCCTTGGCAAAGTACTCGATGAGGGCGTTGTCAAGGTGGACACCGGCAAACTCGTAGTCGTGAGCGGTTGCCAGAACTGTGTACATGCCACCTCGGGAGGCCACAACAGCAACGTCGGAGCGGGTACCACCAAGGTCGGCGACGACGACGATCTTGTCCTTGACTTCGGCCTCGGGGCGGGCATCGTAGGCAAGAACCGCAGCGACGGGGTCAGAGATCAGCTGGAGGACCTCAACCTCGGCCTCCTTGGCGGCACTGATGAGGGCCTCGCGCTGCTTCTCACTGAAGTTTGTGGGTACAGAGATGACGGCAGATGTGACCTTCTTGCCCAGGTAGTCTGTAGCGGCTCCGAACAGACGGCGCAGGTAGCGAACGGAAATCTCGGGGACGGAAACAGTCGAAGCATCCTCCTCGCTTCCCTTGTCCTTGACGGTGAAAGATACGGTGCCCTCAACTTCCTGGGGGTGGGCGGCGGCATGGCAGTGTGTGGGGTCGATGGACTTGAATCTGCAAGAGTTGTTGGTATTAATGCCCCATTCTTCTAGATATATTGATGGAATCCAATAGTTGGCTTACTCTTGCCCGAGGAAGTCGCGGAAGTAGGCTACAGTGTTATTGGGATTGCGAATCAGGAAGGCCTTGGCTTGGGCACCATAGTACTCGTCACCGTCAGCGTATGACAGGACTGTGGGAATTTGACGATCTGGAAGCTCCGTTGGTCAGAAAAAAGGAAACCCATCATTGCTGAACAGTGGCGAAAATTCACTCACCTCCATCCTCGTTGGCAATAACTTCGGCCTTGTCGTCGACAGTGTAGGCGATGGAACTGTTGCTGTTGCCGAAGGTAACACCAATAACCACCCTGTTGCTAGGCTCGGGGCCTGTTTGTTTGTCGCCGTTCTCAGCCATTGGGCTAGTGTGTTTATAATCTGCTCCAAACGAGGAAAGGGTGAGGATTACAGAGGAGGCGACGGGTTGAGGGTGGGTGAGATGGATGTGGGAGGGCGCCTGTTAGACCCTGTATAACTTGTCGATATTCACCGATTTGGTGGGGTTCACAGTCCAAAAATTTCAAACACTCCCAATGCGCAGAGAACGGTTGATAAGATAATGGCCTGCCCCACCAAGAAAAAAAAGTGGAAAGTCCATAGGGCGAATCAATGCTGTATTGTTACATGCTCTTCTGCTATTCAACTCTAAGGCAGGCGGAAACCTATCACTGGGACCAAACCCACGAACAAAAAATCAGCCACCCGACTCATCGATCGCGCCGGCGCAATGTCTTCGGGGGGGCCGATATACGTCCTGCCGGGCGATGAAATAGACGCATCGCTCATTCCATCACATCCCAAGAAGCCGCTGAGGCTAGGTCCTGGCCTTCGCCATGCACCGCCGAACGATATCATTCCGACCGTCGCAGGCCAATTTGTCGTCGAGCAACAAAAGAACGCCATCCGAGTTGAAACAACAAGCGGCCGGGTAAGTGAATCCTAGCCAGATACCCCAGCTCTAGCTGTGACTGCTTTACTTCGCACATGATAAAGTTAACGTGTATCTGCGTAGTATCTTCCTCGAGTAGGCGAGCTCGTCATAGGCACAGTCCACCACTCAGGCGCCGAGAGTTATTTCGTTACTCTCTCCGACTTCACCTCCTCAGCGCTTCTACCCCACCTTTCCTTCGAAGCAGCTACGAGAAAGACGCGCCCCCAGCTCGCCAACGGCGCTCTCGTTTACGCACGGGTCTCTCTTGCCCACAAGTACATGGACCCCGAATTGGAGTGTGTTTCACCATCTACTGGAAAGTCTGAGGGACTAGGGCCCTTAATAGATGGAATGCTGTTCCCTATATCCCTGGGCATGTCGAGACGGCTCATGCTATCGAAGAGTGCACAAGATGGCAAAGTTGTCGTGTTGGATGAGCTAGCCAGTGCTGGCTTACAGTTTGAGACAGCTACAGGGAGGAATGGGAGGTTCTGGGTGAATAGCGAGAATATGAAGACCATCAGTATTGTAGGTCGGGCAGTGACAGAGACAGACGAAAAAGGCCTTAATGTTGACCAGCAGAAGAAACTAGTCAGGTCATTAATCAAAGAATTGAGCTGAAGGAATATTAAACCCTTCAAGAATCGTGACCGTGTATGCATTTGTGCTACCATCTGAAGAAATTCTACCATCCTAGAACGCCAAGATCCGCCTGCTCAACACTAGCCGGCTGTTGCAGGAACACTAAGGCCCGTTGTTATCCCATTCAAAAACGAGGAAGAAATGCCCAAACGCCTCATCAATTTCAATTCATCATCTTTGACAAGACGTACTAGAGCGATGTACTTCATGTCAGGCCAAGCTCCCTGTGTTGAGCCTCACCAGCTTCCAGATGCAAACAGCATCCGAAAGAAGAGTCTCAGCACGGCGAAACTTATCCAATGATGTTAATTCGATATATTTCACCGAGTGTATCACTGAGCACAGCAATATTCGTTACTATCGATCTCAATCCCTAACCAACTCCTTAATGGAACCCCACGTTCCTATGCCAACCGATAACGACGGGCCACCAACGCCAATCATGTCGAAACGTCATTCATTCATGTCGCTCGGACTATCAAACCCTAAAAGATTCGGCTGCCTCTGTATTTGGGAGTGAACCAATTACAAGGGCATCAAGATCAGCGTGAGCTCGTGACAGAGTCTGGAAGCCGCGATATATAAATATAGATATGTGCATGTGTGGCCAGATTATCACAGTACGTATCATGCGAAGCTGTCTGGCCACGACAGGGTCTTGGGTATTGTTGCTCAAGCACCTGTCATTTCTTGGTCAACCTCGACAGGCTCAGGCAGGCTGCTCTGGTCCATGCCGTGAATCTTGACCATGTGCCTCTTCCAGTTGTCTTTTCTTGGAAATGCTTTCCCTCCTGTCCTGGAATAATCGCATCCAGGCATTGAGCAGTGGAATTTCTTCTTCTTTTCATGGCGGTCATTGATATGACGTTGCAGGTGGGTCTTGGTGCCGAAGCCCTTCCCACACCCTGCATACGGGCATTTGTGGTCCTTGCTGTGATATCTCTGGTGGTGTCTATAAAAATAAGGTTAATTCTCGACATTCGGGGTTGACTTGATTTTCGACACCTACTTTAGTTTGTGAGGCTGGTCAAAGAACTGGTTGCAACCGCGCTCATCGCAATGATAAACACCGCCCTTTGGTGAAGGGGCATTCATGCCATTTGGTGGAGAAATGCTCTGGCGGAAATCGGAGCTGTTTAATGACCTGGGGGAAGGAGTATCGCCATGTGTAGAAGGTGTGCTAAGTGTGGACGGATTCGTAGAGCAGGCTCCGGGTACAGAAGCAGGCTGTGCTGATAAGCGCGAGGTTGGGGCAGATTGGGTCGCACTGAGAGTAGATGTCGAGCTGGGATCCGGAGTTGACTCTGGTGCAACAGGAGGCGGCCTTGGCTGTTGAGAGCTGGTAGCGTGCCTTGCGGAGATAATTGTAGTTGAGGGCCCTGGGTCAGAGACTGGGGGCAAATCCTCTCTAATTGAGATCGATGCTGGAGCCACCACGGAAACTGGGGGAGCAACACCGTTTGGTTGCACTAATTCAATGGAGTTTGGCATTTCAGGCGGCGAATCCTGGTTTGAAGACGAGTATAGCTGATAATCAGCTCTGTGCCATATTTCAGATTCGGTTGCCGGTGGCATGATGTCCATTGGGTTTACCGTTCCAAATATGGGAAGGCCAAAGGAGAATTCCAATTCGGAGGAAGAAGCCTGGAAGGTGTCCTGGCTTGCATATCCCTGCATGGTTGGAATCTCAACCGCCGATCCAGCTACACGATAATATTGAGGGTACTGTGACTGCATTGGATTTCCTTCCATCTGCTGAGCTGGATAGAACTGCGCATACTGGACAGTGTCCGAACCCTGAGAGACGACTGGAAACTGGTGACCCTGAGCAGGCGTATAGTCACTATACGGGATAGAGTGCGGCGAGGCTTCTGGCTGGTCCGGAACTGCTTTTCGGCGGAGAAGCGATCGAACATTGTGTCTTAATGATGTGCCCCGTTGAGCGCTGCGTTGGGGTTCCGAGGGAGGTTCAATGACAGCCGCTGGCGGCGGGTACATCCCAAAGGCCTCTGACGGCACATATGGGCTGTAGTAATCCTCACTGGTACCTTTTAGGACAAACTGATTGGGCGCAGATGGCGGCGGTGGAACAGTATCTTGGTAGTAGGGAAAGGGTGTTGAGAAGTTGTCGTGGTTTTGCGGCACCAACTGGGGCTCGGCAGCGGTGGACTCAATTGCAGAGGCATCGTAGCCTGTCGCAGGCGGTTGTGCTTGGCCTTGGGCCGGTTCCACGGAGTATACGTAGCCATTTTGTGAGTTGTAGTTTTGCTGGCTCTTGCCTTCGTCGTCGGTCTTGTCGCTAGATGATAATCGTCGGGGGCGGTCGCGCGGTTGACCCCGATATGTGGTGCCGTATTCGCATTCCCAAGAGTATGGTTTGGAACGGCGGCGCTTCTTGAGATAGTGAACCACGAGAGGGTAGAGACAACAAACCAACAGGGCAAAAGCGAGAACAACGCCTACGGCAGTACCGGCGATGGCCTCATCGTCCATCCGCCGGCCGGGCGACCGGCCATCCCTCCTGAAGACTGTGGCCATCAACTCATCGTCTCTAAGCTCCCATGACTGGGTCTGGGGAGAGATGGGGAGGGGTTGGTCGGGTTTGGGGGAAGACGTTGTGGTATCAGAGGTATCACGAAAAGCCTCTTCGGCGGGGGTGAGGCCAGCAACACCGATTGCTGTGTGGAGGTCGTCGGCGTGACGGGAGGGCGCGAATTCCATGACGTGAAAGCAGAGCGTTGAGGAGCGGGAGGCCGCCCACGAGATGTGGACAAGGGGCCGGGCCGGGCTAGGGCCTACTGCGACAGAGCGAACGTACGCTGGCACTCGAAACTGTCCATTTACCCTGTGTTAAAGCATCTTGAGACGCACAGGTAGGTACGGCTGCGAGAGACCGGAGATGGAAGTAGGAAGTGATGGAATCGACAGAGGTTAAAGGTAATAAGGTAATTTTAGGGCAGTCATAAGGGAATCCGGTCCAGCCGTCAGCCAAAAAGTCCCTGCTGTTACACGAACGTGCAGATGGGCGCGACACTTTAAACAGCGCCGGCCTGGACTGGGGCACTTCGCCACGACCTAAACGGCAAGGGGGCAAGTGCGGCAAGCTGGCCGATGCATGTAAATTCCATCCATTCGCTCTGTTCTCCGTACGCAAGGCACCTACGCAAGCCAATGCTTCTGGATTTCGGCCCTTGGCGAGACTAACCCACCAAACGCCCTCTCCCCACTTGGTCTACACAGACCACCGCCCACTGCTTCGACGGGGAAGGAGGGAAGCGCGATTTGCATCTCACTTGATTCGCTGATGCGTACGAATTCGTTCTGGAAGCCCTTTGTCGTAGACAATTTAAATTTTATACGAGTATCGTGCGCTGCGGCCGGTCAAAACCTTCGGAGCGCATTTCGACTCATCGTACCTGATCTACCTACGCGATGGCCAGCAATCCCGACACTGCCCTGTGATTGAACCAGCCATTCAGCTCCTGCGGTTTCATGTACCTCCCAACTACACCAGTGGATGTGGTGAGCATCCCGCGGCCATTGCCAGGCTCCACTGAGACGGTTTTGAGCCTGTAGTAGGTATTCTTGCCAGCCGCATCACATTCCCTAAATAAGTTAATAAATCCCCTTTACAAACTTTAAGGGGACTTAGGCAAACCCGAACTTACCTTAGACAAGGACTGCTGAGAAGATTAAATCTAGCCCGCGACCTCGCTGGCTCATAGTTGTCTCCTTGATTTCTTTGATTTCTTTGATTTCTCTTGTTTGAAATAACCGGTATCGGGAATCTTGCCCGCGCCTGCAGCACCTTGCTGGCCTATGACCATGCTTGGGGTTGGGAAACAGCGGTACGTGAATGATGTGCCCGAAGATGTGCGCTTAGACATCCTAGGAGTTATGGTTAGCAATAACTCCATAAGCAGTCGCGTGAGAGGCATACCTAACATAGCAGTGAGGAAACTGGTCTTTATTTTCCGCGCTGAGATACTTTTCCAGCATTGCAACCACCTCTCTCTGGCTAGTCAAGGCTGGGGTGGTACCTTCGAAATGAACATCCATCTTCCTATGCGTATAAACCTTCAGGACAAATATAAAAGTTAAGTATAGAAGATAAAAGAAATGATAAAGGAAACAATATTATTTATTATACCAAAGAAATAAGAAGAAGAGAAGAAAGAAGAAAGAAAAGAGCTACGGGAATATATAACTATTAGGTTTTCGCATCGAGCAATATTTGGGGATATAATAAATATCAATATAGGTCCAAGGTTCGCTTTCATTGCGAGGGTAGCGATAATTAATCATTAAGCTTCCATTGCGAGGGTAGCGATTAATCATTGAGCTTCCCTTGCTACAGCAGTGAGAAAACACTTAGGTTGGGATATCCCTTACTTACCGCCAGATGTAGGGCACCTCGCAAACCAATGGGCATTTGAGTGCGTACGGGTCACTTGTGGCACGTAGGTTGGCAGGTTAAACTTACCAGGCGGACTTTTCGACTAGCAGTTAAGCTGTGCTATCGCCATCACCCGCTAAAAGCCGCCATTCTTGACAACCTCCCGAAGGGCATGGGGCCCCTTCGCTCGTCCCGGTTCCATCTGGACTTTCTTTCTCTGGGGCTCGGCAGCTTATGGTTGCCCCCCGCATTCCTGGCCAAGTTGCTGTCCTTTATGGGAGAATATAGCAAATTCCCGCATGCACAGCCTACCTTGTCCGGCTGTTGATACGATTTACAGGAAAAGGGAATTCCCAGCCCTGGATAAAGCAACCCTTATTTTCCTACATCGCTGGGACTAGATCATGATACTAGCAAATGCGCACATCAACAACGCGAACCCAATGGGACCGACCATGTAAATTTCCCTTCCGTGTCTCGCATTTTTGACTTTTATGACTGTCTAATTCCAACCTGTCATACATTGGCTCGTTGATAACAACACCATGATACAATCGATCAGCGGTAGTAATTAGTGAACGACTTGTGTTGAATGAAGTCCTTTTCGCGTTTTGCATCCTCTGCTTTACCCCAAATCATCCATTTCCCTCCCTTATAGACGAGATCTCCAAACCGATTTCCTTTTACATGTGTCCGCACTTGATTTATACCTTTTCCACAGGCCATCCCCAAATCTCAGGTATCTCACTACCAGTCGGATACATTAAACGATTCGAAACTATGCCTATCCTTAACCCAACATAGATATCCGCCAATTGTCGTCAAAAGAGTGCTCTTCAAAGAAGAAGAATCCTTCCACCCTGCTCTGCATCATCCCAAATTTGGGAGGTATACCGGGAGTTTCGTCTTTGGCCAGCAAAGTATGACGAATTTGTCCTCGAGTGCATCACGATGACTTCGGCTTGTCTAGCTCGAGTAATGGCGACATTCAGTCGCTTTGGGTCATCCATGAATCCGACTTTTGTAGTCCTGACCATGTCAAGGAATACCACATCAGCCTGATTTCCTTGAGCGGTGTCAACTGTCAAGACTCGAACCCTGCTTTGCCAAGATTCCGGCCATGTCCTGACGTGCGAATTATACTGCCGCAACGCAGTGCTGTATGGAGTCTGGATCATGATGCTTCCTGGAGCATCCTGATTAATCACACTTGTAAACTTTGTGTCTCCAAGCAACCGTTCTACCTGTGCCAGTACCCAACGATGGTTGGTTGGGTTCCAGTAACTTCTCTTGTAGACATCCTCGCGACTGCCCTTGAGCTCAACCACAATTCGGTTTTCATTGAGTGTAGTAGGTTTGGTACCCAAGCTTTCGAGGTAGGACTTTAGATGCAATGTACTCGGGGGGTACATGGCTTCTTCTCCGTGGTTGGAGATCATTCTACCGTGATAGAATAATTTTGAGGGAAGCCGGTGGAGATTCCCATGAGCTCGGGTATTGGTGAGTAGCCAGCTGTCTATTGCCCCTACTTTGGCTGCACGTGCCATTGTGCTCATCCGCAGTTGCCGAGCGAATGCATTGTACTTGAGCCCCTCTCTTTCCATCTGCTGCCTGTGACCTCCCTTTACGAATGGTTCAGTTTGGTTAACGTCTCCGGTGAAGATCCAGACCAAGGGTTCGAAGAATGCGATGGGAATTAGTGTAGTGAGCTCCCGAGCATGCGGAGCCTCGTCGATGAACACTACCTCTGGGCGGAACAACCGAGAAAAGCTAGAGAACGTTGCAACAGGTGTCGTTGCTACAAAGTCGGCCTGGCATAGAACTGCGCGGTAGAGAAGACATACTCTTCTTCTAAGCGACTTCCAATCGTCAGTGCTGAAGGCTTCACCCTTATCCATTCGGTCAAGTAACAGTGCGAGCTCAGAATAATCCTTCTTCTTGGACTCGTAGTGTTCCCAGGCTGCTTCATCAAGTGTGGGTGCCTTATTTTGACTTCTCTTGTTGCCACTGTGTACCGCTAACCGGAAGGTTGTCAAGAACTTCTTTGTGAAATCAGGCTGACTCTGTTTGAGTTCGTGTTCCGACTCTGTGCCATCAGCAATCATTTGTTCCGGCGCTGCGTTGAGTTTACTGCTGTTGCTCATCTCGTATGGCCAGCCATGCATTCTGATGATTTTGTTTTTGAGGCCACATGATCGGCAAAGCTGAAAGTATCGATCGGCAGCGTCGTCCACTGTCTTGTTCAGATCAACTAGGAAGAGAATTGGGCTGCGCTTCCGCGCGGACCCTGGCCGTTGTCTTGCTTGTATGAGAGCTGATACGACCATATTCCATTCCGTTTTCCCCGCTCCTGGGCAGCCATTGACAAAATAGAGTCCATTTGAAATCTTGGACAGGCCTTCAAGAGCGGCACGATGATCATCGTTGAATGATAAGAATTTGTCAACCAGGCCTTGTGGGAGTTTAAAGCATGGGTCTTCCGGGTTTTTCAAGTGCGGAAACGTCTGATGCAAACTGGAAGAGGTTTTTGGGGTGTTCCGAAAGTCTAGAATGGTTTGAAAGGCCAACAGAGACTTCTCGGAAGGACGACGCTCGTGAATTCTCTTCTCCTCTGCCAGATGCCGAAGGGCTGCTAACTCTGCGTCGTAAGTAATAGAGTTGGTAGGGAAGTGAATGCTGATGTGCTGAAAAGGACTATCGAGCGAAATCAGCTGGTCAATGGAACTTCCGACCTGGAATTCTTCCATGAGGTTGAGCTCAAGATCGTCTCCAGCATCGCTTTTCCATGACCTGGGAACCTCAACTTTGAAAGCCGCGAGAGAGCGGAGCCTCGCCTCTGCGCTCTCAACATCCTCATAGGGATTAGGTACCCGACTAGCTGGTAGATGGTATAAAGTAAACGTTCCTGTATCACGAACAATTTCCTTGAGGAAATCTATCGTGAATCGGTCCGCCATTGAAGGAAAGTGGGACTCTTCCGATGTATTTGGAGGCTTTACAAGCACAAGCCAGGATCGTGAGAAAGGTGTAAGCAGGCCAGGGATCGGGGCAATCGGCCAAGCTTCAAACTTCAAGTTTTTGGCGTTGAAATTCTTGAGCGTTAGCTCCTCGTTGTCCATTTCTATCATAGTACCTTGCTCATGGCGATCCACAAACACTTCCATCACAGGAAAAGTGTGGAGGATGATGTGGCTTGCTTGGTATTTTCTGCAAGGGGTGGGAGCCTTTACTGCCTTTGAAGCATCAACATCGAGACTCGGTGACGTCTCGAGGGGGGTAGGTTCGGCCATCGTGATGAAGTCGTGATGGAGTCGTACAACTTGGT